AAATATCGATTTTGGTTTTTGATGCAACTCTTAAACAAATGACCTTAGGTACATGAAATGTTGACTGAAAGTTTATATTATCATTTTCTATCCATCATTACATTTACCAAATATTTTAACTTATTTTGAGCTGTGTACGGACATTTTCAGTTTCCATTTCTTTTTAGTTTTTTTTCTATAAATATCAAGTAAATTTTATTTGTTCGTTAAAAATACTTGAAAATTTAATAGGAGGCTCTTAGTATATTGTTTCAAAGGCAGATGAAAAAAATTGAAAATTCATTGTCACAATTTTTTTATAAGCATTGTTACGTGCAGCCCTTTCAGGAATCCAATAGATGATGCTTTGAAATAATATAGTAGTCAATTTAGAACAGTAATTGAAATGCAGTTTTATTATAACAGAAATTTTGTATAATATCGTCATGGTAATGTATAATCTCGTAGTAGTGGTGTAGCTGTGTATAATGGCGTCAAGTGGCTTCGGTCTTGGTGGCCCAGGTACATCTGGCCAGGCTCATGGCCCTCTTATATACGATGTTGACTCCTATGGTGGAATCCAAGCGTGTTGCGTGTCACCCGGATAATATGTCCATCATAAAGTTTTTATCCTTATAGAAGTGAAAACTGCTTGCTCGTACGATGATACGACTGCCAGGTGTACTTTTAATTAGTTCACAGAATTATGACCAAATATGGAATAGTCGAGGCTACGGTTGCGTGTAGTAATGCGTAACAATATTATATACGAGTATAATGTTAGTATATTATAATATTAAATTATAATACGTAAATCCTTTACAGCATTTAAAGTTCAAATATTGACAAAATACGTAAAAATGACGAACATTTTGCAAATTATTTCGATTTAGAAATTCAAAAAATTTTTCTTTTTAAATCTAAGATTTGAAAATGTAATACAAGATTTCACATAAGTTTGTCTACCTTTAACAAAAAAAAAAAAATGTCTACAAGAATCTTAAATTAAATTTTTATGAGATTTTGAAATTCATATGTTTACGACATTTGATATTTACTCGATTTCTCATATAACGATTTTCTTATTTTGTTGTAATTAAAAAACGAATGACTGTAAATATTTTGAAAATTTCACTGAATATTTATATTAGCATTTTCTATACACCATTATTTATTTTAGTCGTCATACACGGAAGTTATAATATGAATATACGATGTAACCAAAAGTTTGTAAGGACCGTAGTATACATTTTAGTGTCTGGTTGTGCAGATGATACGCGTGATATGTGATTTCAGTACTTTTGGGGATTCCCACTTTACCACCCGCTGGACGGAAAAAGATCGCTTTCCAACGCTTCAACCGTCATCGAAAACTAAACTTTCAGTGCAGGCGTGACTTCCTTTATCTATGAATTTATATTGGTATCCTGAGTTACCCCAGTCCCCCTTATGTGGTTATATCCGGACAATCTTTAACTTTGTATAAAAGCTCAATATGAAGGATATAGGTCACGCCTACACCGAAAGTTTGGTTTTCGATAGCGGTTGAAGCGTTGGAAAGCGTCCTTTACCCGTAAAGTGGGAATCTCATATAGTGCCGGGAGCTAAAATTGAAATCCTCATAAGTGTTGGGCTCACATATCTTTTTCATAAGCAGACACTGAAATCTATACCACGGTCCTTACGAATAAAGATTGTTCCTCCTGCAATATTACTAGGTAGGTATATTTTATGATATTATTGTGATAAAATTAATTAATTTTAGTATTAGGCATTCATCACGTTCGACAGAAAAAATTGCAAATTAAAGATAAATTGAGGAAACTTTATTGGCTAATTGGAACTCTGAACTAGACCTTACAAGCAAACGTCTTTTGTACGTAGCGATAATTAAACCAATATGGACCTATGGAATACAACTGTGGGGTTGTGCCAGTAAGTCCAATATTGAGATTATTCAACGCTGTCAAAACATTGCTCTCCGTAATATTGTCGCAGCGTACCGATACGACAGAAATGACACTATCCACCGAGACTTGATGATGCCCTCGCCCCTCAGTCCAGGACGAGATTACAAAGTTTGCCCGAAAACACGAGATAAGGCTAGATCAACACACCAATCTAGCAGTAATTCAACTACTTGACAACTCTCAAGACATAAGGCGTCTCAAACGCCGAAGACCATATGACTTAGTATAAAATGTTAGACTAAGACCGGGCCTCTCCATTGGGAGTGATAACCCAAACATGTTTTTGTTTATATATATCTACAAAATATTATTCATTAGTATCTTATATTTATGTATACCTCTGAAATGTATTGCTAAAGATCATTGATCGTTATAATAAAAAGCCATCAGGCAGTTTTTTAAAAAAAAAAAAAAAAAAAAAGTATTAGGCATTAGTATCTACTACAGTAAGTTACATTCATTCTTACCAAAAACATCAGGTACATTTGAAAATGTAATTTGTGTGTATCAAATATTATGATAATATAATCTAAACTACAAAATTATTTTTAAATTTTAAATTTGATAAATATTGTATAAATCGAACTTTATTAAAAAAAATTGAGTGTTGTATTAATTTTTCATACTTTTTAACCCAACAAATTAAATTTTATTGACGTTTATAATAAAAAAAACTTAAAAAATTGAAAATGTTCGTAAACAGCTCGAAAAAATATTTTAAAAATTTTATCAAGTATGAGAATTGATAATATAAATATAGGATGTAAATTTCAAGTTTCTACGGGGATTCGTTTTTAATTACAACAAAATAAGAAAATCGCTACTTGAGAAATCCAATGTTGTAATAATTTGAACTTTCATAAAAATTTCATTTAACTTCCTTATAGACATTTTTTTTTGATAAAGGCAGAGATAACCTTATAAGGATTCTTGTATTACATTTTCAAATCTTAGATTTAAAAAAGAAAATTTTTACACATTTTTAACTCAATATATTTTACACATTTTCGTGAGTTGTAGGTATTTTGTCATGATTGAAACTTTAAATGCTTTAAAAAAAATGTGACTATGGGTTTTTAATATTTTTCAAATGTAATTGTAACATATTAGGAGCCTTGTATTAGATTTTCAAGGTATTTACCCAATGTATTTAATTTACATATATAGAAAAAAAAACCTAAAAAAATTGGAAACTGAAAATGTCAGTAACACGCTCGAAACAAGTCAACATATTTTAACTTATTATATTAATTTTATCGTGTATAGAAAATGTGAATATAAATATTTTATTAATAATATTTTTGTTTGGTTTATCCCTGTGCTTTTGAAAATTATTGAGAATTTCAAATTTCGACCTCCTGAACGCGCCAACTAGATTCAATTTCCTATCGAAAAAGATTGAAGAAGAGATGACAAACCAAAAAAAAAAAATAATAATAAATAACTCACACATTATTGTAAAATTAACATATTCATCGCTTCGCTCAGAATCTAAAATTGTGATAATAACTAAAAGCAATGCTTAAGGTAGGTCTCCACCAACCTTAATTTAATTAGGTACCTACTGGCTACTAATATTTTTTTTTTCTTAAGTTCAAGTCTCGTTTAAGAATCTCATTTGAGTCTGGAGTCATAAGTATATCTTAAGCAATACTTATTCTTAAGCCACGATTATATAATAATTATACGGCTCTTAATCTCTTATAAGAAATTAACTAAAAATGTCAATAAATTGTAAATCTATACCTATATCTAGGTACCTTTTTAATATGTCAAACTAAACAAAACCACAAAGGTCAGTGAGGTAAATTAGTTAAATAAGTGTAATTATATCAAACGTAGATATTCGGAAATAAAGATTACCTACCTACCTACCTATTTACAGCCGTTTCAGAACTAGGTACATCATTTCTAATAATTATCTATATAAATAGCCAAACATATACTTTGGTTGAATTAATTATGTATTGATAAAATGTACAATAAATGTGTAATGGTAATTAAAAAATGTATTGACATATTTTTCTTTTCTCAAACACTAGAGAGTAATGACCTATATACAAAGACATAATAAGATATCTTATTATGTCTATGCCTATATAATATCATAACACATACATTGGTATCTTTAGTTCCTAAGTAGGTATACAAAATAATGTACCCAAATATTTGTACACTTATATTTTATTTAGATACATAATATGTTTATTTGAAATAATAAATGTATTTGTATGTATGTACCTAGTAGAAATACTTACAATGATGTATTTATTTTTTTCGTGTGTCTGTCAACACCATTTAGGACAGTAAAAGTGCTTAGATTTTCTTCAACAATATCTTTTCTGATAGGAAAGTGAATCTAGTTGGTACTTTGGGGGGTCAAAAGTAAAATTTTTCTAGGAGTTTTCAAATAAACTTCTTTACAAATTCAAATATATTTTCAGAAGTCTAATTTTATCAGATTATTAGGATACTAGAATTGGTATAAGAAATGTCTATTTTGTTGAAAAATACAGACGAGATCAAATTCCATTAATGGTCGTCTTTACATAGGTCACACTGCAGTGGTGGCGGTAAAATCCTATTGTCTTGGTGGTGGTGCCACAGTGGCGGTAAATATTGTATTCGGCTTTTACTACCACCGCTACCACTACCACGGTAGTGTGAGAGACCTTCATAAATGATACATATTTAATAGTGAATATATTATTATGTGTTTATCATTTCTTAATTAATAATTGGTCGTCTGTGACAGTTAATACAATTTACTTCACTTACTATTATATTATTTGTTTTAAAATTGTTTTACTAAATTGCCCCTAATAAATTTAGTAAATGCAACTCAATATACTGGTATCAACCAATTTATTATCAGTGGTATAGAAGCTAACTACGCCGGAGCTATCTTTCACAGACATTCCACAATCGGCCGTGGGCTAATCGGATCGAGTCCTGATCGTCGTTCGACTTTTCTAGCGTTCGCGTGCCGTACGATAGGATCAACTAGTTTCATGACTAGATAATAATTCGCTAATAACAACAACAATAAAAATGCACGAAAAAGAATTTCTGTTAACGTTCACCGTACTGTTGCACATATCGGCGTACGGTGTGGTTACCGCCGGATCGCGAACCGGTGTGTACATGGACAATGGCGTCCAGACGGTCAAGCAAGATTTCATGTCGGTCGAGGAGCGAAACGAAGTTGAACAAGAGATACTGACCATGTTTGGTGTGCCGAAAATACCACGAAAATCTCCAAAGAACCTGGACGGTTCGGCACCACAGTTTTTGTTTGATGTCTATAGATCCATACAACAAGATGGTTCGCATGACAGAAGAGAAAGAAGTGTTTCGGATGTTGGTCAATACGATGATCGCACCGTAGAAGACAGTGATGTCATTGTCACACTATACCTATCAAATCATTGTAAGTACTGACGATCGTGAACATGTTGTTTATAATTATCTATTACCTTTAGCTAAATTTAAGTTCGCTTTATTTAGGCCCTCATAGATTATAGGTATACAAGTAACTAGAATTCACAGTAGCATAGTGTGAAATTTGGTAGCTTTTGGGCCTATAGCAGGCGGTTACCCTATTAAATACAGAAATCAAATCAGAGGCGTCATTTCAATTTTTTTTTGTACTCATCAATATTTAGCAGGCCACAATTTTTTTTTTTTAATATTTTACATCATTAGTGGCTAAATGAAGGTTGGACCTCATACCACTTTGATTCAAGTTACCCTGGGTGAGAAGTGGGAGAAGTTTTAATGGTATTAAATATTCAAAAAGTCATCCTCACAGCTTAATTAATTAATTTGTTTTAGCTATTAACTATTGCAGCACTGCCATAAGTCTTCAATTCAACTGTTCCTAGCAGGCCAAAAATTATAATAAGGAATTTTAGGTACTACAAATGACACTCCTGAATCAAATTATAAACAGTGATGCTAGAAGCTAATTAAAAATATAAATTATAATTGTTGTTTTACTACTTATAAATGTATTTAAAACAATAACTTTTAAACTTAAAAATACACTTTTTAAGCTTTTGTTTGATTAATAAATAATAGAATCCCTATTTTTATTTTTTTATGTCAAGATAAAAGTACGGCCCAGGAACTTGGACATATCTGTTGGGCTTTATGGCCCAAAATATGCCACTGAGAATACACCAATATTCATTCTTCTATTTATTCTAATATTTATTCTTTTGCGTTATGAGTCTTAATCCTATCGTTAAATAATATAAATTGAAATAATAACATGACATACCTGTTAAAGTTAATCGATAACGACCAAAAACGCATATTAAAATAAACAATAAATAAATACATTTTAATGACTGATTTTTTTTAGTTGATCTAATTTAATAATTATGTTGTTTAATTGCTATAAATTAAGTATCATTTTATAGTATAATTTTACTATAGTTAAATATTACACATGTGTTTAATTTGATTTTAGCTCCAGTTAGTAATGTTCGGCACGAACATGGTAAACGGATTTTATTTGAATTAAATGATGTACCGCCAGAAGAAACTCACATGATTACTTCAGCTGAGGTTCATTTGTACCAATCTGGTAGTTCAAGTAATGTTAAGCAGTACTCTGTAACTTTGTATCAAGTTTTAGTTTCAAATAATGGGTAAGTAAATGATAGTTATAACATTTTATTTGTTTATTTATTCTTTTTCTTATTTATTTATTTATTTAATAGAGAAAAAGAATTAGAATATGTGGATACCCAAAACACTACAACAGATTATGATGGATGGCTTCGATTTAATGCAACTGGTACTCTAGTTTCATGGACCCATTATTCATACCCCAATAGAGGATTCTATGTTTCTGTACATTCTCATGATAATCGAGGTAACATTTGTTTCAATCTAACAAAATAAATTGCATTAAATACATTTTTTTTAGTCTATAATACATTGAATGTTGATGTTCCCATAATAGAACTACTTTGTTATAGTAATACATATTGAAGTTTTATTTATGGAGAACCAATGACTATAAAAAATTAATATTTACCATAATTTTGATAACAAATTGCAATTATGATTACAGTAGAATCCGCTTATTTGGGACACCGCATAAAGGGGACAACCGCTTAAAGGGAAAAATTGTCATAGTCCCGAACCGATGTATAAGTTAAATGTTATTCGGTTAATCGGGACAGTCGGATAATGGGGACAAATAGGTCACCGCCCGATGTGTCCCAATTAAGCGGATTCTACTGTATATATTACCAACGAATCTGTAGTTATTTTAATTAGTTTGAACCAAACCTAATAATATATAATTTTTTTAAAAATTAAAATAAAGTAAAAATAGCTTTATAGCTAGCTATGTATAATGCATGTATATTGTATTATTAAATATATAACCTAGCTTAATCAAATAGCCAATAGGAAAAAGCGTATTTAAAAAAAAGTATTACAAAATGTTAGTAAACATTGCAATGTATTTGTTTTCACCAAAATATTATTTCACTAACCTATTGTATTTATATTTTTCTAAAAATGTTAAATAAATAAACTGGGTCACCGCCTGAAGCTATTCTTGTTTCAGATAAAGTATAGATTCACTCCTATTTTAAGATTTAGATGTATCAGTTAAATTATAATTAAATAGTATAAAAAACTACTTATAGTAAAAAAATAATTTATATTAATTTTAATTGTTTTATATGCTCATTAGAACACGAACTCAAACCAGAAGAAATTGGTATGGTGACTTGGGCTGACAAACATCAATTATCTGAAGCAAAAAAACCTTTTATGGCTGTTTATTTGAAGTCCAGAAATGGAGGTAATATAGTTGGTGGTCCTTCTCTTCAAAAACATTATAGACGAAGAAGAAGGAAAACTGTTGAAAGTAGTTACAACTCAAACCCATTTCAAAGTAAGCCAAATTATTTTAAGTTTTTATCACTTCTGACCATCTAGAAACCCAGTTTTTTGTTACGGTGCTATACGGTTTTATAAAAATTTGTATATTGTATTAACGGAAACTTGGTTAAATAATGGACTTGATTTATATAACTATGTATAATATATTTAGATATGATAAATGTACTGATACTGGTATATTTTTACGGGGCTGAGGAGTCCTCATATAGGTATTCAAAAAGATTTTCCAGAATTTTCTATTACTGTCCCTGTTTATTGTTGAACTCTTCTTTTATTCTTTTAGGTGGTCTTCCTCCTAACCCTCCCCCTTTGCCGTAACTCCAAGAAAATTAAGAAATAAGTTAGATACAGCATCTAATAGAATTATCAGTCTTGCACAGTATTTATATACAAAATATCCCTGAAATAGGCTATAAACTACTAATCATAAACGCCATAAATATGTCTATAGATTTGGCGTTTTCGCATAACACTTCCACGTTCTACCCGAATTATGGTGTTATTACCTAACATTTCCACTTTTTTTCTGAAGTAACAGCACTATAGTATATTTATAGTTTCTAAATTGTTATATTAATTATTATTTTGAATGTTTATTATAGCCAGTATGTTAAGATAAAATAATAATGTGACATTTGTTCTGATTATTATTTGTCGGTATTATATTAGTAAAATTTACTTACGGCGTTTATCTTAAGTTAATAAAAGTATAAACAGCTTATATTGCTAAGTAATAACATAAAAGTAACTTTTATTCGTATAATAAACAAAGTATATTTTTAAATTATTATTTCATTGCATATATCCTTCATCAAAAAAACTATAAAGGTGGATGGATATGTCTTATACTAAATCAGAAGTTGACTAAATGTTGTCACTTAAATAATAGCTGTTGTTAATTTTGTTTATAATGCTTTTTTGAATTTGATTTTAACCATAGTGGTCAAGCAAAATACAAATCTTTTCTAGCAAAACATTCAATTCTTAAACAACTTTTTGTTTAATCACGATTATTTTAAATAGACATAGTTTATAAAGTTAATATTGTTCATAAATATGAAATTGAAAACAATAATGGTACAAATTAAATGTTATATTTCAGATGTAGCAGAAGGGTTTCAATCTAGAAGTTGTCAAATACAAACATTATACGTGAGCTTCAGAGATCTTGAATGGCAGGTAAAGTTAATCATATTTCTTGATAATTTTAGATTTAAGATATATTATGTTTATCATACATTTTCTGCAATTTATAGAATTCAAACTTTTTACTAAGTATAAAATAGCAGAATTTTATTGCATTAAAAGCAAAATGTAATGACTATTTCATGTCATAATGTTATAACTGCATTGCATTTTGTTTTAAAAAATTAGATCATTGTAATTTTGGTTAAAAACTATGTTGAGAAACTAAGAATATTCCTATTTATTTTATTGACAAATAAGAAGAAAACTATAAAAATTAAACTTTATTTAAATATTTTTAAATATATTTTGCAGGATTGGATAATAGCTCCAGATGGTTATGGTGCATTTTATTGCACCGGTGAGTGTAATTTCCCACTCAATGCTCATATGAATGCGACTAACCATGCAATTGTTCAGACATTGGTGCATTTGATGAGTCCTATACAGGTCCCTAAACCATGTTGTGCACCAACAAAAATGGCTCAACAAGCAGTACTATTTTTTTTGGAAGATAATAACGTTATATTAAAGAAGTATAAGAACATGATAGTTAAAAGTTGTGGGTGCCATTAAAAATTACTCATTTGATTTAAAACGAAAGATCTATATAACGCTGTTTAAAAAAATCTAATATTGACAATTATTTATAGGAAACTTTTTTTACTCCGTTATCTTAAGATTATCGTTAACTATTGTGTATTTTAACACAACCAACTATTGACACAGATAAGAAAAAAGTAAACGATTTCTAAATTAAATTCTTTAGGGTATAGTAATATTTTATTAACAGTAAAAGTGTATATTTTAAATTGATCATATTTAAATTAATAATATTTTTTATAATACTATAAACACTTGGAAGCTAATTCACTAATTATAGAATTAGATAGTGTTAAACACAAATTAGAATTCTTATAAAAATATTTTTTTGTTATCAATTTAAATTACAAAGATAAACACAATACTTTTTTTATTTTAATTAGTTTGAGTTAAGTAAATATAATAGCTATATCGAAATCTCTTATTTTAGGAAAAATACAGTGAACTGCCTAACTTTTATTGTTGAAAAATAATTTGTTATGTTTATAATTCCTCGTAGCAAAAAGTAACTGAGTGTTCTTTAGTTAGCATCACTAGTCCAATTGCAGGAGGGTGCTTATTGGTGTTTAGCAATTGCAAAAAGTATTGAAAATAATAAACTATTATCTTTAAAATATATATATAAAATTTACTGTTACCTAAGTACAATTTGGTTTTTATCTATATTATAAATTATGTTTTGAATGATCACAAACTAATTTAAATATAATTTCATAATGACTTAATACTGAACACACATATAATATATAAATAAGTATATATCACTTATTGTTATTGCTGTACAAGTTAATTCAAAATTAATACATTTTATGAGGAGTGGAGAGTCCTTTTCCAAAGCTTATATTCATTTATTTTAGAACAGTAATTTTTTATTCATATTCTATTGGTTAGCACATTTTATAAATATGGAATTAAGTTAAGTCTATGGAAAAAATTGTAATACACCTTTCAAACAATACATAATGTATATCCTTGTCAAATTGTATAACTTTTATCCAATTTTTATTTCTAAATTAAAAAACATTCCAATTTATACATTTGATGTGTAAATATATAATAAATTAAGTATACTGAATATTTTAAATGAGGTTATTATTAATTTAAACAGCTTAATATAATTGGAAACTTTATTTACATTTCTAATAATATTTATTAATTTTGATAAATGGTTGTTTTTTATTTTAATGTATGGCTCTTTAATTTAGCATGTTAAGTTTAAAAAAAACTGTTACAAAATTAGTATTGCTCAAACTTGTTTTATCTTTATAATATGTGCCTTATTGAACATTTATTTTGTGTAACTATCGATAAATATATGTATTGTGGTGACACATGTATAATACTACAGTTAATAATTAAATAAATAGTATAACAATTTTAGGAAACTCAATGAAAAGTAGGCATAGCTATTATCTTTTATAAAAGTTATATATTTGATTAAAAATTATCACCAAAGTTCATTATGTACATAATGGTGAAATATCAGATATTTATAGAGGTCAAGACTTTATACATCGGTTTTATATACCAATATTTTAACTTATATTGTATAATAATTGACAGAATCCATGTAATTCAATTTTTTAGACTATTTTATACACTTTGTAAACATTATTGAATAGTTTATGTTTATAGTATCGTTTACATTATATACTACATGCTACAAGATATTAGATGTTAATATTATATACGTCCACTGTCCACTGTTCCTATACTTATATTATATGTTCACCTATTTAGAAAATTTACATTAAATATTATATAGTACTTAAAAATTTATGATAATGATTTATAATATAAGAGTTTTCAACAAATAATATTTATACATTGTGTTAAGGCAAAAAAAAAAAAAAATGTACAATTCGTCCTAGAGACTCATGACTTTTATAAGAACAATTTTTTTGAAATAAATATATTGTGATCATACAATTAGCTTTTGTATTGAATACAACTAACCTAATTTACGGTGAAAAAGTTATATGGAGTGTTTTCAGCTTCTATATTCATATATTATTTTGAAAAAAAGACCTATAAAGAGTATGGCAAAGCTCTATATTTATATTTTTCTCTCAAACCCATGCGCAATGAAGAAAATGTTCATTCAACATAACCAATCTTATTTGTTAGCTTTAATATTTATTTATTTATTTTGAAATTCATACAATGAATCCTGGGCCTCACTGAGAAAATGTGTGGCCTAATCCATTCTATAATATCTATGAGGGCCACTGGAAAAAGAAGACGGAGACGGAAGACGCCAATAATAAAAATCAGGTGTGTTTCCCACACTCACGCACGCCGTCGCGTTGTATCTAGAATCAAAACCAAAATTCAGAGAACAATCAAAAACATATCTGAAGTGGCGGCTGCGTCAGCGTCGTTTCCCGGACAAGTGTTACCAACATAGCGGCTCACCGTGCGTGGTCATCGTCTGAGTCAAAACGGCGGCACATTTGAAATAGCGAAAGGATCTAACACAACGCTGTCCGTGAGGGCTTCACTTTTTTAAAATGTTATAAAATAGTATTTTTAATGTTAACACATTACAAGGAAACGTAAAAAAAAAAAATGGCTAGGATTTTTGTAAATGTTTAAGGCTGAATACTACTTGGCAGTACTTGAGTTCCCCAAAAAGATATACATTTTGCAGGTAGTGAATTCAACAAATAACTTGCGTCTCATTTTGGGACGCAACTCGATCTTATTATTCTTGAAAATAATATTCCAATCTACCAGACTACTATTAAAATTAGGAGCAGAATCATAATAGTTTTAATTTAATTTAAAGATTTTAAGAAGGATGCAAATATCCAAAGAATACATCATATTTTATAATTGATGTCTACTCGATAAAAATATTGCAAATGATTAAAATGCAAATTTAATGTATAATTACAGGCTCCGATTTATTATGACAACTCGATTAAAAAGAGAAACTTATTATGATTCAATGTTTTTGTAAAAACTTCAATTTCAAAAAAAATAGCATTTTGATTTTTAACAGTATAAATACCTAGACCTTCATAGGACAGGAAGCGCGCTATGGTGACTATGGTAACTGTGGTAGTATTTTCAATCAAGAGTGTTTACGTATGTCTTTAACCGTGGTCCAGAGTGACGACCACTTATCAATACACCTTGGATAGTAGATACTGGAAATGAGAAGAACAGGGCTGCCAACAAAATATTTAAAAAATAGCGGCTGATTTAAAAGTTGAGCACTTTATGGGGCACGCTATATTATATTTTTAATTAAAATTAAATACACGCTAAGGCATTGATTATATGTTAAAACAAAAAAAGTACAAACGATTAAATGAGAAGTAGTAATTAATAGAAATTAAGTAAGAACACGATATTGGAATGAATTGACTTATAATCACACTTAAAGGTAAGAATATTATCGAGGGCATCTTATAGGGTTTTAATGATATTATCATATTTTAATCAGTAGGTAACAAATATGTAATAAATTACTTTAAAATTAAAACATCAATAAAAGGCTATAAGGTGACCTTCATAATATTAGTTCGATAATCGTTCAATTCAGTCACGCTAATATCAAAGCTAATAACACAAGATTAGTTATGCTAAATGAAAATTTTTTATGTTACATACGGGTCAGAGAGAAAAAAAAATTATGTTGTATGTAAATATTTATTATGTATTTTGTAACTATAAAATTAACATAAGATTTAATATCATTCATGGCTGTGTTAGCTCATAAATTATAGCTCCTAATATCATTATACAAATTATTATACTATATTATTATAAACTATAATCAATGCTAATATAACACATAGACCTATAAACTAGTGGACAGAGCTTAGAGAGAAAGGTCACGGGTACGATATAGACTAAAAGATAAAAGAGAAAGTGAGGGAAATACAGTATTAGTTTCAGAGGTCTACGATTACTGCTTTATGTTCTTTCTCTCTTTTCTCTCTTCGTTGTGTCTTCTTTCTTTCTCTTATATGATTCCCGTGCATTGATGGTAGGGCAGAGTGGAATGTGCTGTCCATAAGTTTATAGGTATATGATAAAATATTATGTTTTCTCTTCCAAGTTTAAATTGCAGATCGATTTATTAGGATATTAAACAAAATAAATGCTGTTAATATTATGCATAAAAATGTGATGTATTCATTTTTTTGTTGGAGCCTGTTTTGGCACTGGTAAAAATCCTGGTTTCTTAGTAGGACGTAATTTAGCACTCAATTTAATTGCAGCACTACGTATTTTTGCCATTTTTGAAGTAGACGTTCCTTTGGAACTATTCTTTCTGTAAGAACAAAATAACAATTTATTAATTATATTAAAATTGACAATTATTATTTTAAGCATGGTCCAGACTTATGATACATAGTTCTTTAGTTACTGCTTATGTGGGGAAATCTGAAACATATTATGTTTCTAACTTATTCTCCTAGGTCTGGACATGGATTTCAATAAACAAATTTGAGAAACAATTTTAGTTTGAATGATTTTGATTTTTTTATAAATAATAAATATCATGCCATAAATGTATTATAGTATAAATTAACTATATGCACTTCATATTATGTTTATATATAATATATTTAATATTAAATTAACTGTACTGCTGCTTCTCCCCCTCCCACAGTATTCCAGGAAGTTGATTTAGGGGAACAAAATTATAATTTTCATAATCAATAATTGAACATAAAACTGAATTTAATTTGTTAATAGTCAGTGACTGATTATATAATATAGGTTTTTAAATTGATACGCTATTGCATACAGTTATAATAGTGTACTGATTATACTTATAGTCTGAGATAAGGTTTTCAATAACAAGCTAAATTGTTTGAGAGTATAGTTATTATATGGTTAGCGTCATTCGTTGAATGAAGTTAGTTCGTTATTTTTCTTCAATATCATGGATGCACTAGTGGAAGGTATGTATATATGTATATATTTTTTTTTTCACTTAGTTTTGCATGTTTAATTCAAGTCATATAAATATAAATACCTATTTAAATGTGTAAAAAACATTTTTTTTTCAAATTATTAAGGATACAAAAAAAAGTAGTGGATAGTAGAGGTTTGAAGTTAGTGTTATCTATTAGCTTAACTTGTCCTCTAAATGATATTATATAATTTGGTTGCAGCAAGTTGCAACATAGAACCTATTATATTTTTCAAATTTGTCGAAAATTTTATTTTACAATAAAACTAAATGACAAAAAAATTTACTTTAATTCAAACATAATAATATAGTAAGTTCTATTGATTCTGATTTATATAATATGTAAAAAAATTATATTTTAATTATATCATTAAGATAATTTTTTTAATTCTCAAAAAAAAATTTTTCTTGCTAAAAATCCTTTCTGTAACACTGTGCCTCCCCATGGGAGTGAAGGTATTTAATAAATAAATAGATTTTAGTTGTAAAAAGAAAATTGGGAAGTCCAGATATTGGAGGATATAATATATTATATACTGTATACAAAATAAATTACATTTAACACACCTAACTTTCGATACACTATTAATAATACTTTCAAATAAAATTAGTGTATACAACACAAAACTGTAATTTACTTTTTTCCTTTACTCCTTTTAAAACGTTTGGTTCTTTTATTAGTTAAAGAAGTTGTTTTACGTTTTCTTCCACTTAAATTGTTAGTTTCCATCATTCTGTTGACCATATCTTCATAATATGGGGAATCAACGTTAATTCCTTGACAATATCCATTATTGCTATAGCTGTCTTGATTCACTTCAGTACTTATAATTGCTATAGTATCAAACATAGATTTTATTGACTTTTTATTTTTAAAAACACTAATAGTTTGCAATGGTATTCTTATTCATAATAAAATATGTTTTGAAATATAATTATCAATAAAAGCTTAAATTCCTTTCTTTAATCATTTGTTATTATTTCAATAATAACTAAAAAACTATACCTGACTTTTCTGCAGCTGCTTGTTGTGTGATTTCTAATAGGGGTTGACCAAATTTTTCAAAATTAGATTTTGTAACGCCATCAATTTTTAACATGTCTTCTTCATTATTGGGCATCAATTGTGACATTGAACGAATTGCCTATTTTGTATTTAATAGTTAAATATTATTGAATACTAACATAGTTCTCTTTCACTTTTATAATATTAAGTCAGACTATATTATTATCATTTTAGTCCATATTTAAAAAAAATATATTTATTTCAAACTTACTTGAATAGTCATAACGGCATTTGTACTAATATCCAAAGATTCAGCTAAGCCACGGCATACTTCCATTAGATTTGTGTAGCATTTTTCCTTTATTTCTTCAAGAATTGGATTTACAGTACTATCTTTAATACTAACAATATTACTGTCGATCAAATTTGTTTTTGGACTTAATGCAAGTGATAACTAACAACATAAATTTAGTTTTTAAATATCTATTTAATTAGTTATATTTATTTTCTAATTTATTATTACCTTAAAGAATCCAGTTAGAAGTTTTTCAGCTTCAGGGCCTATTCGAATGTATGCATTCATAATATCTGAATTAAATGCAACCATTTCTTCTCTCAAATAACCTTCAAGTATTAATTTGTGTACTAATCGTTCTATATCATCCCTATCCCAGTGTAAGGCCTTTCCAAATATATTAGAATTTTCATGACCTATATTGTGATAAGTGTTTTCTTCTATTTTTAAATAACTCTACAGATATTATTATAAAAATAGATAGCAATAAATTTTACCATGTAATACCACTTTTTGAGTTTTTTTTCCTTTGAAAATATCTACAAAATGTGTGAATGTAAAATTATTTCCTGAACCGCAGATTTCTTGAACGGCCATTATTAGGTTAATGCTTTCTTCCGTGACATCAATTATTTTTATAGAATGCTGAAATAAAAGACTGGTTTTGAATAATTTTTTATTTGACCGAAATTTAGAATTCATCAAACCAGGATTAACTATTGGTCTCTTTCCACTAGGAAGAACAGTTTCACTTAATATATTCAATTATATTTAATAATGTACCTTTATTCGGCAATTGTCACAAGTAGTCTTCTCATTAGCAATGCATTGGGCTTTATCAAATTGTTCATCAAAATAGTTAAGTTGCATGGCACGACGACAATCCACTTTGTTTTCACAGTAGGATACAATTCTACAGAGATTATGAAAACGTACCTTTTTTGTTTCATAAGTAGCCCCACCTCCAACTAAAAACAAAATTTAAATCATAAAAAAAGTAAGCCATTAAACAATATTTATTTTGCCATCAAATATATTTTCTTAGATAATTTAATGCAAAGTATAATAGAGTACAATTTAGTCTGTCATTTGTTATAATGTCATATAAATATTAAATATTAAATATGTCAATCATTTGCATATTTGCTTATCCGGACCACCCTTAACATTAATAAAATTAGTCCAGATAATTTGAGTTCCACAGTATATCATTTTTAAACACAAGAACCTGAATAGTGCATATTATATATTTTAATATTTAAAGATTTGATTGTGTTTGTTGATACAGATAAATTTTATATATATTATAACCATCATAGAATATAGTATGTTATATGCCAAAATGTACTGGAATATAATCAATTATCTAATATCTATATGAAATAAGAAATTATAGAACTAATATTTTTAAATTTATTCATACTTTCAATGAGTTTTTTGATACGATGCATATCTGAATAGTTGTAGTATATCAAACAGTATGCAACATCACCATCTCGTCCAGCTCTACCAGATTCTTGATAAAAACCCTCAATAGATTGTGGTAATGAATAATGTATAACATAACGCACATCAGGCTTGTCAATACCCATGCCAAAAGCAATAGTGGCACAAACTACCTGAAATTTATAATTTATAATTTACAACATGAAAAACTGTAGAACACTCATTGTTTGCATCTAGGGTATTGTATTTTAATTTACATTTGATTTATTAGAAGTCCATTGCATTTGAACATCATTTCTTTTCTTATCTGTTAATCCAGCATGATAGCTAACAGCTTTGATTCCTTCTCTGGACATCAAAATAGCGGTATTATCACATTCTTTTTTTGTCATACAATAAATTATACCGGACTGACGTGCAAATTTCGATTTTATTAGATTGGCAATTTCCAATAATGAAGATTTACCTTTTTTAGGGATCACCTCATAAACTAAATTAGGTCGATTAAAACTGGATACAAACCTTTAAAAAAATGTATTTATATTAATGCCACATGTCGTCAAAATAAATAAATATATAATTTACATCAAAATCATCTTGTTATATAATTTTGTATATTTTTTTCAAGAATTTTAAGAAAACCAAATGATAGAGAAATCTATTTCATGTTGGACACATAAGAATAATACAATTTTTAATTTAGTCTTATTTCAAAAAATATTTAGTTTCTTAATGGTTAATTACATCAATATAAAAATAGCGTTTCTTACAAACAAGCACAAATGGACTAGTAGGACCCCAGAAGAATTTGCAGTGGACAGTGTTTCTTATTTTTATTTTTATAATAATCATTTAAAGCTTTTATGAGAACATGAAAATGGTCCAAAAATCATGATCTAATTATTATGCAAACAGTCTATGCAAACATCGAACAACAGATTAATAAAAAGGGCCAAATTTTTCTATTATTGTATATAATTAATTGGATATATATTATTAAATAATATTCCTTTAAGAACTTAACCTATGCATAGGTATTTCAATATTTTATCATTAGGTGCTTAATAATACAATAATTATACCATAAGAACAAATTAATAAAATTTCAATCTGTCCTGACAACAGCTGACATAAGTGAACTTGTTTTACTAAACTGAATATTCAGAAAATACTGCAATAATTTGTCACAAAATCAAATTACATGTGAAAACATAAAAATAGTAATACAATAAAAAAGTAATAATGGTTTTATTGTTATAAAAATTCATTCTGCTTTTTGAAACATATTTGTCAGATATTAAATAAATGTAATACCATTTTGTTTCTTCAATATTAAGCTGATAAAGAACATCTTGGCGAACACGTTGAGTTGCTGTAGCCGTTAGTGCCATTATTGGAACATTTTGGTAATTTTGTTTCAATACACCTAATCGTTTGTAGTCTGGTCTAATTAACATAAAATTAAAATTTAACATGAATTAATATTTTGTGTATAATGAAATTACTTTTAACACCAGAAATAAATAAATACCAACCGAAAATCATGACCCCATTGGGACACACAGTGAGCTTCATCAATAACTATCCGAGCTAGTAAATTCCTACAATGCAAATTGTTTAAAACTTGTATTAATTTATTACTTGCTGCAACTTTTTCTGGAGTAACATACAGCAATTTCAATCCTTAAACACATGCAAATATTTTACTTAAAATATAACAATGAATGCAGATTTATACCAAAAATCTTTGACATCAAAAATATTAATATCTTTAAATAATTATAAATTTATAAATCATATTATATTTTTCTATATTATGTTGTATTACAATACTCAATTTATAAATTATTAAAAATAAATATAAACATCACTGTATTCACATTTATATTATCATTTAAATATTTAATATTTATATACCTGGATCAGCCCCCCATAGTTCAGAATAAATTGTATTTTCTTCGTCAGGGGTAATACTACTTAATAAGTGAGCTGCTGGTATCTGTTGAAAAAAGTTATTTCAAAAGAAATATTAAATATTTATAATGTTCCTAGAGTTCATTTAATATACACATTTATTTCAGACTAAAATTTACAAAATGAATACTCACATCTAGAGATTTTAATTTTTGAGTCTGGTCAATAATCAATGATTTTAATGGTGATATCACAACAGTTATACCTTTTGATATAACTGCAGGCAATTGGTAGCATAATGATTTTCCACCACCAGTTGGCATTAAAATGAAACAATTATGCCCAAGCAAAGCAGCATTAATTGCTTCAAATTGATTTGGGCGAAAATGTCGGAGTCCAAAAGTTTTTTTAAATACTGCTAAAAGTTCCCAAGAAAAACTATAGTCAGTTTTGGTAAACTCAGTCATGGACAAGTTTGTACTTGAATTTAGATCTTTGTTATAACTGGTATTTATATGATCTGTTTGAATCGGTCGATTTGTACAATCATTTGGTACTGAAATAAAAAAATGAATTTTTTTAAGGTGCTCATTTCAAAATATAATGACAATTTTACAGTTAAATTAAACATACTTTTATTCATTGTTTGAGTATCAGAAGTAGATTTTTGACTGTACAAATTTAAGCTTACATCAGGCTCGTATTCAATTTCTTCTACATTATTTTTTAAAGATGTCAAAGTACATGGTATTTGTTTGGCTTTATTTTGAGTCAGTAATGGTTTATTTTGAGAATTTTTGTTCAAATTTTTTGAAAAACATAATTTCTCATCTTTTACTATATTTTCTGAGATTCTATTTACATGATTTTCATCATTATCAGATGCAACAAAAATATTGTTAATTACAGAAGAGCTCTCAACTTTTGTCATATTTTGTCGACTTTTTAATTGTGCTTTAGCAAATTTTAATTTATTTTTAATTTTTTGCCGAACTTTTTGAAGGTGGGGCAAAGATGAAGGATCTCGAAGACCGGGTATATTAATAGCCAACTTTTCTGGTATATTAACAAACATGTTAAATACTTTTTGCAACATTTCATACTCTATTTTTTCTAAGCTTTTTATATGCGCTTCTAGTTTTGCAACACTCTGAAACAAATTGTCCATAATTTATGTAAATAAATATAACGTAAAAATATTACAGTTGAGTTAAAATAATTCAAATCTCAAGAAGAATACAAATAAATTACACTTATGTACTTTTTAAGTTATATAACATAAACACAACTTAGTATAAACCCTTTGTGTTTAAGAAAAAAAATTAGAATTATGAAGTTTTTTGAATTATTAAGACTTGACTGTATTAGTAAATTAAATAGACTTTGAAAATCTTACGCCGATAGATGTAACATTGAGTTCATTAATATGTTCATCACTAAGCAAAATGTCCTTTGATAAATTTGGATCTATTAAAAGGTTTACAGAACATTTAGTAATTTATAGGCACATATTACACAAATATACAGGAAGATTTTTTGATTAAAGAATACTCATTATTTCAAAAACTATAAATGCTATTAAAAATATTTGTCTTACATATTTAAATTATTACAAAAAGTTGACATTTTAGCTCCCTAAAACCCCATTTTAATCCAAGGTAATCCTGATTAAATACTTAGTTGTATATCTTAATTCAACACTATATTATATTTAAAATGTAAAAAACCATACCACTAACCACAGTGATTCTTTTCAGTGCTTCGAGAATTATATGGAATTTCATTTTTTTCTAATATAGAAATCACTTTCTTGGATGAACTATTTTTATTCATTTTGGTAGTACATCTAATTGTCTTATTGTCTATAATTTCTTTCTAAAAAAAAAAAATTATTACAAATTTAATTAGGATAATATTTTACTGGATATTTTCATCTAATATATTATTTCTGATAGTACAACAACTATTTATCATTCGTTGTACATCAAATACTGTGAGAGCGGGATACTTTATTCCAGGGGTTAAAAATTGCTCCAAAAAAATATTTATTGATATCAATCATAGAACATTAGAACATTACGATTTTGAGATCAGAGATTGTAGTTTTTTTATATTATTCTTATTAACATTACTAATTTTTTCGAACATTACGAACATCAATCTATTAGTTTGCCTCCAAGATGTATGTCATGAAAAAAATTGTTTTCAAAAACATAAAAACACATAACGGAAAACTTATCCAAAATCTAGGGGATTAAAATTTAAATAAATAAATTTATTTAAAATGCATTGAAAAGACTTTTAATCAACTAAAAAAAAAAAAAAATTATAATATGTATAGGTTCAAATAAGTTAAAACACAAGCACTAAACATTACACCAATAGTTATTATATACATTAAAGTAAGGTAATTTTAATCATTGTGCAATGTAACCTGCAATGTATTTTAACTTTTCTCCAAACTTTTGGGAATAAGTAAGTCACTAGTACGACATTTGGATTTTTTTGAATTGTTCTTACCTCTCAACATCTATACATATAAAACAACGCGAACAGGTAATTTTTATCTTTGTTATTGAAGCTATAGTATAGGTTCAAACTGAAAAAGAAATATATTTGGAGCAAAGTATCCCGCTTTTAAGGTATATAAGATCCATTTTATGCACCCAACATTTAACTAAATTTAAAATCCAAATACATATTTTTAGATTCTGAGTGAAACGATGAATGTATTAATTTTACAATGATATGTGTTATTTTTTTATTTTTGTGTTTGTCATTACGGTTTGGGGCAGTAAAACTGCTTCAATTTTCTTCAACAGTATCTTGTTCGATAGGAAAGTGAATCTAGTGAATCAGTGAAAATTAGCAAATTATTTTGAGTTATGAATTTGTAAAAATTATAATCTAAGACTTTAAAATGTAATACAAGATTTCTTATAAGATTATCTACCTTTATCAAAAAAAAAAAAATGTCTATAAGAAACTCAAATTTTTATAAGCTTTTGAAATTCAATTTTTTACAACATTGGATATTCACTTTCATTACATTCATTCACATTTCTTTATTTTGTTATAATTCAAAAACTAATAACTGTAGATACATGAAAATTTCACTGAATGTTTATATTAGCATTTCCTATACACCATACAGTTTTGACTCTTTTTGAGCTGCTTACGGACATTTTCAGTTTTCAATTTTTTTAGTTTTTTTGTCTATAAATATCAATTAAGATTTATCTGTTGGCCAAAAAGTGTAAAAATTGAATACAAGGCTCCTGATATAATGTTACAATATCAGTTGAAAAATATTAAAAATACATAGGCACAATTTTTTTTTATAAGCATTTAAAGATCGAATTTAGTATGTAATATCTCTTATACCTAGACTGACATACCATCTCCGCTCAGAATCTTTTTTCTTATACAATGTTATTATATCATTGAATTTAAATTTAATACCATCTATTATACAGTGACCCACTTGTAACCTACTGTACAGCAGAGCACTTTTTTTGTGGTGAAAGTTTATTTTTTGAAAATCAAATGATTAATTTGTGCATTAAATGAATATTATAAATGTTAGGTACGTATAAACAATAGATTGTATAATACAACAATGTAATAGAACCTTTTTTTCATACTACAATTTATTATTCTAAACAATTAACAATTGAACAGGTACTCACTTTTTTTGCATTTTGATATTCTAGCATTCTTATAGTAGGCTGGTTTAAGCTTTTTTCTTCTATTGATTCTGTTTTTTTGGGTGCTGAAATATTTAAATGCAATAAAAAATTGTAAAATATGCATCTTATTTACCAAAATGTGTAAAAACAAATTTTTAAATATTTTACTAATAGTTTGGAAACTAAATTTTTCAAATTTTTCACACATCAATAGATACGGCATAGAATAATTTTTTTTGTGGAAAAAACCACCTATGACGGTCACGGTCAAGGGCTTGGAACCGAAATTAAAAATGCTCATTGAAAATATTGGAACCGGAACCGTACCGAAACCTTTTTTTAATTTTCTTAGGAACCTAAACCGGAACCGATAATTGTCGGAAGAGAATTTTACGGTTTTTTTCGGTTCTAGTTTTATTTAAAATATTTAGGTAGGTAATACATATTAAATAACAATAGTTGGTTCATAAATTTGGTTATTAATGTATACTGATCAGTCAATCTGCTTTTTAAATATAGAATATAATTGTTTATAAGGTTATTTTAATTTATTATTACACTGAATTTTACATAAAAAATAAACTATACATTTTGCCTTTTAAACCACCAAAAATACTATTCTTTAATGTCTATTCTAGATTAAAATGTAAAAGTAAAATAAATTATATTTCAGTTTGTTATTATATTATGGTCTCATATTAAATTAAACCAAAAATGATCAAAAATGAATTCAGATTTTGAAACTTAAAAGTCAATTAATCAAAATAACTTTTAGTAGAAAAGTAATTTTGTTATTTTAATTTATACTGAAAATCATCAGTTAATTATTAAATTAAGTACCTATTTATACAAAACATGATTTTTATAGAAACAAATCTTTATAAACCTATTGTACAATTTCTGGTATAAATGTCAGTAGTTCAAGCTGAATTTAACAACCCACAAGACCACAGACTCACAGGCCACTGATCAAATTATACGATGCACTGACTTCCACTTCTTACAACATGAGCCACCCCTATTTTTTTAAATTTGTTTTGGATGTTTTTAAGACAAAATTATAGTAAGCTTACTAAGTCATTTAACCCAATAAGGCTACTATAATTTGATATTACCATTTTAGACAATATATGTATGACGTTTATACTTGGTTTTTTTTTTACTTTTTGAAAATAATATATATCTATAAATACCGGTATACTTGGTATATTTACCGGTACCAGAACCGAAACCTTAATACTGTAATTTTAAGAACCAGAACCAAAACTAATACAGAATTTTTATTTTTTTGAAGAATCGAATTGGAACCAAAACCGAAAAAATCATAAAGGTTTCAAGCCCCTACGTTGTCTCATCTACTGAAACATCTGGAACCCAAATCGGGCCATCACCAATTTCCGAATACAAGAAAAATAGTATTTTTATTAACTGCAGAAACATCATTTTTGCGAATTTTATAATTTTTGACTGGGCCGGAACACATTTTCCAGTATATTTTTTTTAAAGATTCTTATATGATGGATGATTTAACTTCCATAAAGGTGTATCAATATATCAGTTTCTAAGACTCTAACATAGCTTGACATAAATCTAGAGGAAAATTGTATTGTTTATTTTGATTTTCTAATGTATTTTTGATCTATGAGTGTATGACTAGATTTCGCTTTTAAATTAATATTTTTTGTATGCTTGCTTGTATTTAATTGTTTTACTACCTTAAAAGGTTATTATATTGGTCATCCAACCAAGATAAGATTAGATAGGTAGTATTTACGACAATATGATAAATAACCCAATAATTATAGACGTTCATTAAATAAATACCATTTAAATTAACTATTATATTATGAAAATTTAAAAATTTAAGCTTAAAAAACATAACTAACAAAATTCTCAAAAATCTATGAAGTATGCAATTATATGCATTCTGTGCAAAATATAAAAAAAAAACTTTCTATTTAGTTGAGAATATGCCAAATTGTAAACATCATACTTACACTTTTTAATCAATGAAGTTTGAAGTTGTTCATAAGTCATATATTCAGATGTAATTGAATCATCAACATAACCTTTAAATGCACTAAAATAAAATAAAAAATACATCAATCAAAATATAGTTCATATTATGTATGGCTTACAATATCCAACTTAAAATCTATACGACCTTAAGTTGTAGACCTATGTTGTGTAACATGTTATATTATTTGGAATTGAGGAACTAGCTAAATTGGATACCTACATTTTATTTTTAATTCTTTATAGCAGTTACAAGGTTTAAATTATTGTATTTGTGTAATTTCATACAGTGGCGGAAGCGGAACAAAGGCAGTTTTTTAAGTTCCGGTCTCAAGTCAGTGGATTGTGGGTATTCGGTTTCGACTAGGAGTCTAGGGCGGAATAGTGGAATGTAAATGAGTAGCCAAGTAGGTAAGTTTACAAACTTTAACCCTTAAATTTGTTGGGTAAGTGGATGGATAGAATCCTAACATTACTAATTATGAAGTAAAATATCTCACGCCGCCACTGATTCTATATCTGTTGACTGTAATAGATTAATTAATAATTTTTGTATAATAGTATTATTATGGCAGCTTTAAAAGAATATGAATTTGTATGCTTCTTGTGGACAAAACTATTTTTGGACAGTAGTTATTGCTTACGTATTATGTTCTTTTTTCTTTTGTTCTTTTTGTGAAGATAATTCACAAAGCGATAATTTTGTAGAAGTATTGTCTTCGGCTTCTTTGTTCTCAACAATAGAACTGAGGTGTTTTAAAACTGCACTAGGTTTTTTCATTTGGAAACTCATGATTTTAAAAATTGCTACCAATGCAATTCAAAAATAATTATACTGATATTTAAATAAAAATCAATATTTGTGTGTGTCTAATGTCTATGTCTCAAGTCTCATGTATCATTTATTCTATAATGCTTTTAATTGTTAATAGGTATAGTCGATATAGATTTATTTTTAACTTTTTGAGTTTTGTTTGTAACAAAATTAAATTAAATTAAATTAAAAAATATAATATAATATGAAATTAAATGAACGGTGGACTTGTCTTATTTGCTTATATTTGATATCAACAATTTAATGATAATATTTTAACGAATATGATAACGACGGGCTCGACACCATTCCCAACCGCAATCCACAGGCTCCAACAGTAAGCTTGACGAAAACGAACGTGCGGATGACTCTAGCGCCACCAGTGGCGTTTTTTCGGTAGGGCTAAATAAACTACTATAGCCATCTATGGCCCTACCGAAAAAACGCCACTGGAGGCCCTAGAATCATCCGCACGTTCTCATGACGCGTACAGCGTACTGTACACTGAAACATTCTGAAACCATGGTACAATATTGAAACTAAACCGGGCTGCTACAATTGTATGATAATCTACTGCCACGATAAGAATATAATGCCTATTGCTCCGAATGTCAAATGCTCCGAATACAATTTCCACGATTATAATACGCTGCCGCTGCCTTATCACCACTTACTGTCGCCGACACAAGTTACCACTATTTCGTACTTTGTTTACTTTCTATGGATTGCACCCTCGTCCCTAACGTCATTCTAACATTATAGCTATATAATAATATTATACTACTCAAAAATCAATACCGTGTTCTTTAACCACGTCCGCCCCTTGGAATAATAATCATCAATGTCCCTATCCAGTACTTACTAGTCAGTAGTCGGCGTTCGTTACCCGATGTAGTTATTTTGAACAACCGAATTGAATTTTGAATGATATTCTTGTTGGCTTCGATAGAATGACGTCAATAATAAAATTTTATACCTTGTCGGGTGCGCACAATGAATCGCCACCATGTTATTTATTACAAATTGACGAGTTTAAGTTCTTGTTGGACTGTGGATGGGATGAACGCTTTAGCATGGGTGTTGTGAATAAATTAAAAAGGTCGAATAAACCTTTTTTTTATTTTAACCCTACATACAAATGTAAACCTCAACTTTTATAATGTACTGTCTGTTTGTAGGTATATCCATCAAATAGATGCAGTTTTATTATCGCACCCGGATCGTTTTCATCTTGGAATTTTGCCGTATCTCGTTGGCAAATGCGGTTTAAACTGTCCTGTCTATGCTACTATACCTGTTTACCAAATGGGTCAAATGTTTATGTATGATTTACATCAAGTATGGTTTTAAATTAATTATTTTAATACATTTTTTGTTGTGTATTTAAAATACCAATGTAATAATGATTGTTTTTTTCATAGTCTTTGTGCAATGCGGAAGATTTTAATTTATTTAATTTAGATGATGTGGATGCTGCTTTCGATAAAGTCATACAAGTAAAATATAATCAAATTGTTTCATTAAAAGGTATGAATTATAGTTATAAAATAATATATCAATTTATAATGATCAGTTGTAATATGTCTCAATGCAATATTTATTATTTATTATTTGTATTTATCGATACCCTGTTTGTACATTTGAAATGTCTTCCAATTATATTTTTTATCGGTTCAATATTACTTTTAAGAAATTATTATGAATTGTGTATTCAGTTACTTAAATTAACTATACATTTGTACCCATCATTTAATTTAGGTAAAGGAATTGGTTTAAGAATAGTAGCATTGCCTGCTGGCCATATGGTTGGCGGCACAATTTGGAGAATATCTAAGGTTGGCGAAGAGGATATTGTTTATGCTGTAGATTTTAACCATAAAAAAGAAAGACATTTGAATGGCAGTGACTTAGAAAGGCTGGGAAGACCATCATTACTAATATTGGATTGTTTTAATGCTGCTTATTCACAACCCAGGCGTAGATCTCGCGATGAAGCTTTAATGAGTTAGTTCAATACTTAACCTGTTATAATATTCACAATATTAAACTTATGTTCATTTTTCAGCTTGTATATTGACAACATTACGTGTCAAAGGCAATGTGTTGATGGCGATTGATACAGCAGGACGTGTTTTAGAATTGATGCATATGCTGGACCAACTGTGGCGTAATAAAGAATCTGGTCTTGGTGTGTACTCATTAGTATTTTTAACAAATGTGAGCTACAATACTGTAGAATTCGCAAAGTCTCAAGTAAGTTTCCACTTGGATTATTTTTTATAATCTTAATCTCATTTTGATAAAATACATTTATAGATTGAGTGGATGAGTGATAAATTAATGAAAAGTTTTGAAGGTGCAAGGAATAATCCATTTTTTTTTAAGCATGTAAAACTATGTCATAACATGAATGATTTAAACAAAGTCTCCGAACCAAAAGTAAGTTACTATATTATTTCATGTTTAATTAAACATTAAATAACATTTAAAATAATCTATCCAACAACCAAAAAATACGAGAATATTAATATTATAGTTATTTTGCTTGTATTAAAAAGTAGAACTACTACTTTTTAATACAAACAAACAAACTAACTAACTAAGTTACCAAATACTTCTGAAAAAAATTTAACAAACCTTAAACTCTGAATATAAAGATACAAATAGATAGGACTGTGAAAATGTTATCACACTGTTTTTACATTTTCAACACCACCAAACTATTGACTGTGGTGCAAAAATTATAAAAAATATTATGTGACAAGATTTTAGGATGGAATGTTTCAAACTTAAACATGGTGACATTTTTCGATGTTATAAATCATCTGCTAATTATTAAAAAATTTGACATTTATTTTTTACAACCATATGCTATGTAATTTATTTTACCACTGTAGTCTATTAAATAATTTCATCATAGTTACATTGAAACAAGATTATTAATTAATTTTTTTATGTAGAAAAGTGACCTTTATTTTTTTGAGCCTGTAGGTTTACAAAGTATATATTTTAACAATGAATCATTTATATTTAAAACACCGGATACAAAAATTTTCACAGATTATTTTTTCTAATACAGTGGATTCCGCTTAATGTGGCCACCTGTTAATACGGGCATCCGCTTATTGTGGGTAAACATGTCTGGTCCCAGTACAAATGTATATTTACAATGTTAAATAAAACCGCGTAATATTGGCACTCGATTCGGTTTATGTGGGCAGTTTTATTTTATCATAGCGTTAGAATATACACAACATATGTATTTAAAACGACTAATTTAATTGGGTTTCGTCGTATCTATGAGATTGTATTTATCAAAAGTAATAAAAATCATTACCATTCAAACCTTAAAGGGATGTGTGTAAATGTTATTAAATGCGATAAAAATAAAACAATAAACGACACGCTTTCTGTAACGGGTCAATACCCTCATTTCAGTTTTAACGTGAATTTCAACGTGACAATATGTCTGCTCGAAGAAAAAGCAATGGAGGGGATTACAGTTTTATTATGTGTCAATATGACCGGGAGTGATAAAAGAAAGCTGCTAATAGTAGGAAAAAGCTTAAAACCTCGATGCATAATACAAATATAACTTTGTATTATAATTTTGTTTTTTTGTTTTAACTAATTTCGGTTTTAATGGGCAAACAGGACTGGTCCCAACGTGCCCACATTAAGCGGAATCCACTTATTATTTAGTAGTTAAAATATAACATTGTTATTTTTTCTTAAATATTAAGGTTGTATTAGCTAGCAACGGAGATCTTGAAAGTGGATTTTCAAGAGAAGTTTTTATTATGTGGGCTTCAAACCCCAAAAACAGTATTATTCTTACAGACAGGTAATTTTAAAGTATAATACTTATGATTTATGAACAACAATGTAAATTCCTTAATCGTTATTATAGAACTGCTCCTGGTACATTAGCTCGCGATTTAATTGATGAAGGCGGTGATAGAAATATTAAACTGATTGTCAAGAAACGTGTACCTTTAGATGAAAATGAGTTGGAAGAATATAATATAAAACATGACGAAGAAAAAATGGAAGCCAGTAAAATGTATTTTTTTTATTCAAATTTTAAAATGAATTAATCATTACTATATTTTTTAATATTAGTATAAAATAGTTACTAAAATTAAAGTGTATGATAAAATCACAATTGTTATTAGTGACCCAGTAAGTTCTGATTCTGAAGACGAACAAGAAGTTATGAGAGGAAAATATGACTTATTAGTTGATGCTGATACATCAAGCTCCAAAAAATCTTCAAAAAAAGAATTTCCTCCTATGTTTCCTTATTATGAAGAAAAATGCAAATTTGACCCATATGGGGAAATTATAAAGTATGATTGTGTTTTTATTTTTAAAATGATTATCTATATTTATATTTAATTTTAGACAAGAAGATTTTATTAAATTTGATGTAGCACCGGGAGACAAACCAACCGTAGATGAACAAAATAAAAAAAGTGATGAAGATGAAGAAGAAGAATTATGTGACGTACCATCAAAGTGTGTGGAGTATGAACAAAACATTTATGTGGCAGCCAAAATTGTACACATTGATTTTGAAGGCCGCTCAGACGGAGAATCAATAAAACAAATTGTACTTGCATTAAAACCTAGACGTTTGATATTAGTTAGAGGCAACCCATACAGTACTAAGGTTGTTTACAACTTTGCCAAAGTATTTATAGATGGTAAAGTTTTTACACCTAGAATTGGACAGTGTTTGAATGTAACAACTGAATCTCATATATACCAAGTAAAAATAAATCTTTATTACATAAGATTTAATTTTTTTCAACAAAAAGATTAATAGTATGATGAATTTAGGTACGTTTAACAGATGCACTTCTTTCCAAAATTGATTTTAAAAAAGGACCAAATGGTGATTTAGCTTACATGAATGCCAAATTAAAACTAAATAGTCGTGATACTGTTATGGAAGTGGACAATGCTGTATCTGAAAAGAGTAAATATTTGTTTTATTTTTTAAATACACAAATTAGGACATTTTACTATAATTTTCTCTTTGTCTTCATAGTGCCAAGAATAGATGATCAAATATTTACACTTGAACCTTTGGCAGAACATGTAAGTTCTACTCACAATTATTTTTATTCTGAAAATTAATCATTAGTGTATAATAGCTACATTTTTTTTGTAGGAAATTCAACCTCGCAAGACTGTGTTTATTAACCGTTTAAAACTGTCAGATTTTAAACAAATTTTATCCAAAAATAATATACCTTGTGAGCTTTCTAAAGGTGTTTTATGGTGCTGTAATCGAACTGTATGTGTTCGAAGAGTGAGTATTATATTGTATTATGAATTAAAATATCTTCTATATTTGCTTTCTAAACATGTAAAACAATAATTTATAATTTATTATACAATGTTAATTTATCACATTTTAAGTATACCTAAAATATATTATTATTTATTTAAGAAATGTTTTAATTATAATTGTAATGCACGTTAATATTTTTATCAGAAATAAAAATGTACCTACCCCTACCCTATAGCATAAATATAACTCAAATGATAGGGATGAAGATGATTTGAAGGCTGTTTTCACCTTTAATAATTTATTTTATATTGTGTGTTATATCAAAAGTAGCCAAACCAGTATATTGTGTTGTTTTTAGATTCTTACAAACAGACTACATACCTAATTTATGTTCAATAGAACCAATTTTTTTGTTGATAAATTTAAAATTAGACTAAACTAATCCGCTATTAAACTTAATGGTAAGAGTATTATTTAGGGAATATTATTGACATTATTGATATCTACATTTTAGAGGGAGTTATGAGAATTTTAAAATTTTAATATCTATTAAATCCTGTATGCTTATAAGTTTTGATAATGATGTAAATTAGTTATTTTTTCTTTAAAAATGTTTTAATTTAATAATTATATTAGTCATATTATACCTAATGTCTCTTGATTTTTTTTTTTTAATAGATTTATTGTTTGATATCCATCTAACTAAATATTTTTGTTCTTTTGTAGAATTCTTCTGGAAAGGTTTTGATGGAAGGAATAATTAGCCGTCAATACTATCAAATACGTAGTTTATTATACAGCCAGTTTATTATCATTTAATATAACCATCATATAAATTTGATGCTGACAACATTATGGCTTTGATAAATTATTTAAATAAAATCCAATAAATATATGATGCACATATTTATAACTATTATTCTTTCCTATTTTATTAATATTAAAACGTACTGTATAATTATTTTGATAAATATCAATGTATTACATTTTTAAACGCTTTGTTTACTTTATCCATAAATGTATTTTTTTTCTAGGCGGGTCTTAATTTTTTATATAGTTGTATAAAAATAAATATACACTATAATTGTACTTCATTTTTTCATTAAATAAAACTTAAATACACTCAATAACAATGCATTATTTTTAATTATACGTCCTGATTGTCCTGAGTCATTTACACTTTCTCGTATCATTCTTCCACCCTTTAAAATCAAAAAGAACTGTTACAGATAAAAAACTATTTATTTTATGTATTATTGTATTTATTAATATAATGTACCATATTAATATAGTATCAAGATCGCGCAACTACAGTAGAAAACATATTACTTTAAGACATGTTATTAATCTGGAAATTTATAGATGTTACATTTTCAAACTTTTGCTTTGAGTTTTTGCAAACCAAAAATGAAAGTGTTATCATACCTACATTAATAAGAAAAAACCTTAAGAAAGTGGACAATTTATAAGACTTATAAATAGGCAATAGCACAAAAGAAGACAATATATTTATTCAGAATCTAAAAATAATAATATGGTATTAATTCAACTTACAGGCTATAATAATATCAATATAAAAAAGGTGCTCTGCTGTACAGAAGGTTACAAGTGGGTCACTGTTTAAATGTTTAATGGATGGTATTAAATTTGAATTCAATGATATAATATCATTGTACAAGAAAAACAGTTCTGAGCAGAGACAGTATGTCAGTCTAGATATAAGACATATTATATACATATCTATGGTATTGAAAAAACATTGATCTATAATAGGGACCAATAATAAAACTTAATCATATCACAATATTCATTAGGTACTTATAATGTGTTATACATCAATAACAAACCGTGATACTATCATACATATATAAATTTTAAGTATCCACAAATAATATTATACAATCACAACAAAATAACTAAAATAGTTATTCTAGGTTTATTAATATGTAATTTTGACCAAACTCAAACTAATCAAATTAACTGTGATTGTGTATTTTTCAGATTTCGTGGTAACAGAATTAACTACTTACATAGAATCTTGTTTTAAATTTTCAATCCTTAGATATAAAAGTTGATTATTTTATAAATTTTTGACTACAAAATAATTATTCAATTTTAAATTTGATACATTTTGTTAAAATGTTGTCTTTAAATGCTTATAAAAAAAAAATTGTGCCTATGTACTTTTAATATTTTTCAATTGTTATTGTAACAATATATCAGGAACCTTGTATTAAATTTTTACGCTTTTTGACGCAACAGACAAAATTTCATTGATATTATGTTGAATATGTTTTGTAAATTTAGTATAGAATAAATTTATAAATCGTATATACCTATACATATTATGTATGAAAATATTTTATATCCCCTCCCCCCAATGAAAAAATCCTAGATCCGCCACTACCTATTAGTAACATATTGAAGCATTGTGCTTCTAAACTTAGTTAATGAATACCATTGCACCAAAATATATCTATAATTGTGCTGAATAATGTAATAACCAACCTTCTTAGTTAACATAAATGGACAATGGTTATTGGGGGTAATTATAGACAAAACCTAGAATACTTTCTGTATCATTTTATCATAATATTGTAAATTAGATAATTGTTTAATATTTAATATAGAGGACATAGATGCCAGATGGTAAATCATCCGATAGTCACTGGGGAAGCAGCTGCCTACTCAAGCCTATGTATGTATATATTTGTAAGTATTTAAAATTTCAAAACTAAATCACAGATTTGTCAGGTAGAATATACTAACATCCTTGTGCCATATAAGACATGTTAAATTATGTATTGACTATAGTATTTAGTCTTCTAGAGTAAAAATACAAATAAAAGGTATTTTTTAAGTATTCAAAATACATTTGTCAAAAAGTATTTGAAATACAAAAAAAGTATATAAATAGTATTTAAACATAAGTATTCGAATACTTAACAAGAGTGCTTATAGTGTTTTTATGTAATTTGTATAACTACTCATTAAAAGTAGTTGGTGTAAAATAGTGAAAATAAGTCAAACAAAAAATGGCAAAAAATCAATAAATAGGTAAACATTTATAGTTATCACTCAAGTATTCAACATTTATATTGAAGTAAAAATACAAATTCTTTAATAATAGATAAAAATGCACATTTCTTACAAAGATAAAATAATTTGGATTTCCTATACTATGTTTAATAGAATAATGTTAAAATGGGTAAATGGTAATACAAGTACACTGTTTTAAATATAAAAATTATATAAATTAAATATACTAGAACTATAGTATCAAGAGATTTAATTGATGAGAAATTACAACATTTTCATAATTTTCAACTTTTTGAAAATGTCTACAACAAAAAATGTTTATGATAATTTACATCACTATAAGTATACTCATAATTTAATTATTGCTACATAAATAATTACGTTTATATTTTTATTTGGTACCTATTTTAAGACATGCTAGCATTAAAAATGTGCAATAGTAAAATATTGAATGGTTAAAAGCTACTTTATACTTCAAAGGTGGTAATTTGTAAATGTTCGTCCTATGTAAAGTACGAATTAAAATAATTAAAACATTATTTATTTTTAAATTATACAACAGAAATAATTTATCAAAAATACAAATTAAAAATATATTTTTTTCACTTCAACTAGCAAGGTGTAAGGTTTCTACTTTCTAGAAAATTAATGAATTATGATACTTAAAAACAATTTGTATATTTTTGATTAATAGGTCCTTGCATAGGCGGCACTTTGTGGGAGGAGGGAATGAATCACAATTTACTGACCCATTTAAAAATGTTCTTACATTCAACTTATCTATTTAATATTTCACCTTCATTTTATCTGGGGGGGGGCTGCCCCATCGTGTATTCGCTCCCCCCAAATCCCGTCTATGGGTCCTTGAATCCATTTCAAATTTGTATGTTGTAGGAATTAATGAATATTATATTTTTAGTACCTAGTAAAATATAAAATTAATAACGAGAGAGCTGCAACTCATGATACAACTTATATCAGCCAAAGTTGGCGGCCGCCGGCCGATGGGTAATAAAGTAATTATTTATGAGTGAGCATGAGGAGGCGCGTCAAAACACAGAATAAAAGTCAAAATCAGGAAAAAAATTGATTAGGATTGTTTAACAACATGAACGATATATTATAGGAACCAAAAAAACATGAAACAATATTTCATAGGAAAATTTATATGCAGGTTTGGGATAAATAATTTTCAGGAACCGTCAAAATCGAGAATTTAATTTTTACTTTTTAGAAAATATAATTTCATGAAACACCTGAAAACTTGATAACAGTGTTGTTGGCGCACTATACTTATACATACCTATATAAAAATATATAAAGAAATCTGTGTGTGGGAGTCGCTAAATAGATATCTGTGATAAATGATAATCAATGACAGATGTTATCACTTATCAGTAATTATCACAGACACAAAATGTTTTGATAAAATTTTCAGTACCTAATTAAGATTTTTAACTAAATATTTTAATACTTCGGGTAACTGTTATTTTGTTTTATCTAAGCTGTATGTTATTTTGGTGGTAGTTGAAATCCGTAGTTTTATCAAAAGCTAATACTTACGTAAAAGGTACGCATTTCCTTGCTGATGGATTATTTTCAATTTTCATTATGGACTTACCAATTTTGTTTAGTAGTCAAATGCTCAAATTGTGGTTAATATACAAAAATTGATACTTGATTTTAAGACTAAGTTTTATTCTTTTAAGAAATACAAAAAGATTTAATGTACTTTTAATTTTTTTAGCTTTTCTAAATCATTAACAATTATAATTAAAAATTATTTAATGTTAATTATATTATTATTACTAAACCCAAATGTTTTTAATCATATCTTTACTTTATCTTTCAGAATTCAAATAGAAATGTTCCAAATCACACAGTGTTTAAAATCCATAGCGAGAAACCAAATCCAGATAAAATATAAACTCCATAATTTCACAAAAACTTTATCATCTGCACGCAGGTCTTATGCTGTCAGTAAGTTAAATAAATTAATATTTGAATTGATTATTTTCATTTATGAGGTACTTGGTATGTACCAGGATTTTGATTTCATATTCATGTCAAGAAATAAATAAAAAACTAATCAACTATAATTATTAAATAATATTGAATTAGGTATAGGTAATTTTTAATTATTGACTTTACTGATTGCTACATACTTAATTTGACAATATTTTGCACAAAGCTATGATTATTAATATATTAAATGTTAATAGTTTTAAACAATAGTTAAATTAATTTGTACATTACATAACAATTTTTTTTAATAAATACAATTTTCAATGCAGAAGTATTAACTGTTTATATTATCTGAAAACAAGTCCAAATGCATTTTTTGCCATTTAATAATAAATACTGTAAGTCTGTATCTCTGTTTAGTGTTTATGCCCAGGGAACAGGGGCATATTTATATGTTTCCCGCGTGTAATTCTGTAGAAAATTCCCGCCCTAAATAACTAAAATAATAATAATAACAGAAAATGTTAAAAAATTTGCTGCAGTACTCACGTTCCTATAGTGTCTACATATAAATACGCCACTGCCTGTAAGCTATAAGTTTCATATTTGAGAATGCTACTAAAGTTAATAAAATATAATTGTTTAAAGTGAACAATTACTGTTGTTCCGTTCAAAAAAATAACTTTTTTTTTCGTTATTGTGTATTATACACAGTTTAATTTTTTTTTACACATTTCTGAATATATTTTTTTGGAGGAGGTTTTATAGTATATAATATTGTGTTTAATCTTGTAAATTCTGTATTACATTTTCAC